TAAAGTTGTAAGTCGGACAGTGTCGTTGACAGCTATTAATTAGTGTCGAATTCTAGTTATATCTATATCTAACAGACTAACCGTAAGTACAGAAGTATAACAGTGAAGAGTGGTCGTGATTTCGTTGTGCGAAGCTATTGACCAACTTGTAGTCACAGTTTGAAAAGTCGATGACTGCTGTTACAGTCAGTAAGGGTTGAAGGCTACAAATCCACAGCAAAGGTGGCACGATGAAGTCTCTAAAAGATGATAAACGGTGAATGCTGCGTGTTTGTTCGGTTAGTGAACAGAAAAATATCGAAAAGAACATAAGAAACCAAGAGTGTCACTCTGGACTCATGTCAATTATACCCGTGAAAAACGCTGTCAGTGTTGGGATAGAGGCGACAATATCGTTTTCAGTTTGCAGGAGATTCGCTCGACTGCATAAACTGATGATTCGCGCGAATGATATTGTCGCCAGACCACCAATTGAACCGGATGATTTGGCTAGGGCTCAGTGACATTTCACTGGCCCTACAGTATCAATCATAGTCGATGAATGGGGACAGATCAAGAATAAGGAGAGACCTAATGTTGTTAAGGAAAAGTCAGTCCCCTGAACAGCAGCTGATATATTGAAAAATGATCATCGTGACAGGTCAGTTGTCTTTCATAGAGTCAAGGAGACTGCGAGTTCAGAACCCAGAACTTGTTTTGAGCATGACACTGAGTTGATGAAAGAGCTATCAAACCAGCTAATGCCTTTGGATATTTCTGGAGTCACCTTGCTAAAGGTTTATAGACCAGGTAGCCAAATGAACTTGAAACAGAATCAAACCAGGCTGTCAAAAGTAGTATTTAACTCTCACAGTCAACGGGATTTAATACCACAGAATGGACATAAAATAAAGGGGTAGGTAGTTTATTTCCGAAAACAGTTACCGCTAGTGGAGAGTAAAAAATATCAAGAGGCTGAAAAAGAACTAAAACCAAAGTTAGAAGCTGGCGAGAAGAACCTTAAAATCGTAAATTTTCGGCTGGAGAGGTTTTGACAGATAATTATCCCAAGGCCATTATGGGTGTATTGTAAGGCCTAACCTAAAGCCTTTTTCGATTCCTAGATTCACGTCCCAAGGAAAGTCTGCATATAAGCCTCTATGATTATCACATTTCATTCACCAAATCCATTACAGCACATATCTCAAACACTCATTAGCTTATATACACGAATTATCATACCTCGGTAGCACGTGGAATTAGGAACCATACCATAAGTGACAAAGAACGAAGCAAGTAGTATATGATAGATTATTAATAATTAAGAGATAGAAAAATGATAACAATCGCTAGTGGGTTAACTTGAGATTTACAATGGGGAGAATATAAAAATACAGTGATACAAATATCTACTAACTAAACAAACAAAACACAAATGATAATAAACTGCAAAATAGTTACAGAGGTTTTAGCATTGCCAGTAAACGCCACACTGTACCAGTATGTTTATTTCATACTTTGATTCTGAGAAAATTCCGGAATTTTATTATTCTTTCTGATGTCTTCCGATCAATGTCCCTCATGCGGATCTAACAGAGAAGATCTTGCAAATCAATGAAGAACATACTATTGCGAATTAACAATTCTAACTAGGAGGATAGAGATAAATAACTCGCTTGTTCAGAGGTAATATTGATTTGTACTTTTATCACTCGATTTCAATCATTCACGATTTAGTTAATAGTGACTGCTGTATGAGAATATGACCTCATAATTGATTCTATAACTTAAATTGATAAACTAAAGTACATATTAATATGAGCTGAACTAATTAGTACTTTGTATGATTCTCATTTATTTGAAATATCTAGTCTACTTTTACTGGAGAAATAAAGATTTCAGCTTTTCTGCTTGGTGATATTAACTAATTCAGATTGTGTTGATTATTACTTTTCAGTTACTGTTTCATTCGGAAAGTATGCATTCCTTCACTTAACAAACCATTTCCCGTGATACAGTGCCTAGTCAAGGGCTTAGATAGTATTACTGGATGTATTCTCCCACTCTAAATCTCAACCCCCAGATTTTCCAGCTTGTAAACAAGCGGTAGGGTGTCACTGCAATAAAACTGATGTCATTTCGTGATTATCTCACACTTAATTCGTAATTTTGACAAAACTTTTCCTTAACTCCTGATATCTAACCCTAACTGTTTTCATCATAGTTTATATTGATTGGCGACGAAAACAACCCTAACTCACAACGCTAGCCCAACTTCTGATACGTAAACTTAAGACTTTTCGTTTGCGTTAAAAAAATAATTCAACACGCGGCAGATTACTTATCATATTAAAATCACTATTGCACTTTAACTCCGTTGCTTTCCAAATAGGCACTGTTTTCTGATTGAGTGACCAATCACTTAAGGTCATCGGTATGGCATATTTTTAACCATCATTTTAACTTCAAAACTCAAATTAACTAGTTTTCGTCTACCTACAGCACTTCACCGACACTCAAGTTGTTATGCCATATGACCCGTCAAACAATACGTCACAAAACCATCAATCAGAATGCCGACTTCTACAACTTTGTCTCTGTGCCAAACCAATAACACGTCAGCCAGCACGAGCAGCTTTAAATCAACTCTGGAACTCTATTGTTCCTCTTCACAGTCGCTACTCGCCTACTCCGGCCCGTTCAGTCCAAACACAAATAAGTCTCCGCCATATGAATCGTATATTTCAGATATACGTGGTTTATACACAAATAGACCAGACCGCATAACACCATAAAATGAAAAATAATTACTATGCGAGATCAAGCCAAAAGTGGTTATGAGTATAGGAGGTTGTAACTAATAGATTGTGAATAAATTAATAATGGTAAGCCGCATAACAGTAGCCAATAGGAATATTTATAGCAGTTGTAATATATTTATTCATCGTTCCGACGTAATATAAGTGTGTTTTGATCTAACTTGTCAAGCCTTTCAATCAACTTGTTAAACAGTCATTCAAACAGTGACAATGTGTACATCTTTGTATCATGATCATCATGTCTGTATGAACATGTATGTTTGATCACGTGTTACAGCCTACACATATATCCCTCTTACTAGCTTAAATCACTCGATTAATCATTTGTTTTTCTATGTATATTTACTTGCATCTCACCAATTTATTCAACTCCTAATTCGCCTCTGTATTTTTTCTCTCACATTAGTATTTCTGCTAGGATTCGCTGTGAGCTTGTGGCTCAGTGATCTGCGCTGTTCAGTAACAAACTGTAGTCGACACCTCGCGTTGTCATCCAAAATTGATACACCGTCGGGATTTATTTAATAATGAAAATCAGGACTTTTGATACACGAAGCCTTAGGAGTTATCTCTAAGACAATCCATTACATACTCATATAAGCATCAAACTTTCTCTGGATAAAGTAGTTTGATTTTTGTGTGATCGTTCTTGGATAAACAATTGCCACAACGGAGCGAATGTCAAGCAAAGTTAAACTTTTGAAACTGTTTTATCTGAAGTTATTGCTTATATGGAGAGGAACACTACCTTCTACAAGTGGATAACACGACAATCATTTTCCCAGTTAGCATCTAGTCGAACTGTAAACAAATAATGGGTAGTTATGCATAGCCATACTCATATATAAGTAATAACAACAGCGTATCATCACAAACACATAAACAGTGAGTAGAGATTATTTTGTGAACCATGCTTACAATGAACATCATACTTTTCTTTAGGTTGATATAAAAATCTTAACATTGTTGAAGATTAAATACAACAGATATCAACCTTCAAATCTTTCCGAGTTATGTTAAAAACTTTTGATTGGCGAGGGATTAATGGATATCATATGAGACACTTTATAAGACATTAACAAGGGCGGAAACTCGATAACTGACCTAGCGCCTGACAACTAAAAACTGTAAATCACTCGGATGAGGGTTCATTGGAATATGTTGGAAAACTTGGGATACTTGGTAAATTCATAGGTACTCAGATAATGTTTTACAGACACGATCAATTAAGAAACTCGATTTATACTACAAATCCAAACATCAATAAGGTTACAAACAACAATATCACAAAGCAAATGTAGATCAGTTTTCAATTTTACTTGGATGTTGTGAACCGTAATAACTAAGTATACTACTGAGCATGAGTAACAGACAATGTACATTCATGTATATATGATACATAAGTTACTGCATAACCAAATCAAACTTGAAAGTAAAACCAAGGCAACGAACTATGTAGGAACCCCACTAATCTCATTCCGTTCAACAAATATTCTTAAAATCAATCTTCTTGAAAAACTGAAACATTCATACTACTCTCCATTGTAGAATAACAAAAGTTCGTTTGATAAATGCTGCTCGAAATCACCTAGTGACATAATATAATGAAGAACGGTGAGTGAACATTTCATCAAATAAAATAAAACTTGTGCAGAAATCTATTTCAATTCAGAATAAACTATTACAAGTCACCTGTTCATAACAACTCGCCATCGTCATATATTTCATTGGAGGCGGACTCAAACATAAACCATCCACTCTCAGCTTCAACTCAAAGTAAAACACCAGTTGTCTCACTAAACAGTTTGCACACAGTAAACATTTTCAACATTCATTACTTGAAAACACGTTAGAATCATATGAACAGACCAAAATGAAATACATGCACAAAACAAACATTCCAGTAAATTAAATGAAACCGAAGAAGCTATGTCCTGAATAACAACACATGGTACAGCCAAACATCACAGAATAGCAACAACGATAACAATATTAATAATAATAATGATAATAATAATAAGGTAGAAATCGCTTCTATTCGTAAACAGATTAGACTAAGAAACAGAATGATTCACATCTGAAATCTAATAAAACAAGTGGGTAACATCACGTACGTTGATAAGAAAGTTTAGCAATAACATTCTGTTCATATATCTGGGTAGAATAAAATTTATGTGAAGATCATCTGGACCATTTGACCACCTTCCTTTCGTAGACGAATTGATTAATTGGCTCTTTTGAGCCAATCGGTAATGTGGCCAAATAGAACGGTGTATCAGCACCTAAAAACGTCAAGAGAAGCACAACATTTTGCTTAAGTGATCAGCTACAAAGACTCATGAGTGATGTAATTTTCCTAACCACCCTATTGACTGCGGTGAACCCAATCCGATATGAAGTTCTTACTGACATACGTCGGCTGGTAAAGGAATAGTACACATTTTCGACGAAAATTGATTCATCGAATAATCAGAAATAACATTGTAATTACTTATATATGCTTTAATATAAGTTCACATCACTTCTACCTGAGTACATTTTTCACATTCCTTATGAAATCTGATCTCATACCTGACCCTAGCTTATAAAATTGTAATCTCTGTTCAAGTGATTTTATCAATGAAATGTAGAGATGAAACGAGTTTAGTATATCGTGACTTCCATTGTGTGGTTTCACGAAAAACAAACCAGTATTAAATGGGGGTTTATTTGAAAATCTACAGGTATTCGATCACAATGATCACGTACTTCATACCTAAAGTTCAAGGGAATATTCGGGTTTCATGAAAAATCTTGAAAACAATTTCGCAACACAAAGTAAATAAATTCTTTATGAATTTAGACTAAAGATCAAGGAACATTTATGGGATGTTATTAAAGACCGAACATAATTTCTTCTTATTATATTCGACTGCACTTGTTTTAGTGTCCATTTTCCCTTCACGTTACAGTCAATCATCACATTCGACAATTGAAAACCAAATGTTAGACAATAGTACGCTCTCCTGATGCTCAGCTGTTCCCGAACTCAACAAAATAGTGGTCAAGTGATTCTGTCAAAACAACTGACTTTTCAGATAATACATATATATATAAGGATATAGACTCACCTTCATCCGTTGTCTTCACACCTTTATGGTCAGTCATATCAGTGTCAACAAAACCAGGACAACACTGTCGAAATGATGAAAACGCGAAGATAATGTAATAGAATCTAATTGAACAAAACTATCAAATGTTATGTTAAAATTAAAACCATTCACTTCCAAGCAATCACAAACTCTAAAATCATCACTTTAACAATACCACTCACGAAATTAATTACTCTTAGCCTTCGACAAACGAGACGATTACATTTCCTAGGCAGTCAATCAGTGACAACGCAGAACTTCGTACGTACGTACATCAGTTCGAGTTGCCACACCACATTAGCACAGAGATGCAGTTGTCGATTCAAATTCCGTAGTGGTAGAGGTAGTAAGAGTATAAGCAGTAATCGGAAAGATTAGGGTTTGGAGATGTTATTTAAAGAGTATAATCCAGTGAAGTAAAGTTGGAAAGAGAAAAAAAGAGACAAGGAGGAATCAGGAGATTAGAATTTGGAAGAACACAAAGAGTGTATGCACCTGCGCCATTGCAAACGACTTTGAGCCATGTCATTCAGGGTCTCTAACCATCGGTTGCTATCATCTCGCGGTCCCCAACCAAGTAGTCTACACCTACCGATATATGACTCAGTCTACTTGTCAGTGACTTCATGGACTTGTGCCATGTTTTGGTCTGGCCGAACCTAGCTTTCTTCCAATCTACTCCTATACAACAAAACATCGCACATCGAGGCAGTCGGTCGTTCGGCATACGTAACACATGTCCCAGCCATCTCAACTGATGAAGTTTCACTACGGCAGCCCTGACGAACACCACTTGAGGTAATCAATTCTGATGACAGTTCGCCATAAGCTCTCACTCTACCAGTTGTGCTCGAGTAGAGAGCCTTTACAAGGTTAATGTACTTCTTTAATACTCCTTTCAGTGACAAACACTGCCATAAAACCTTACGATCAACAGAGTCGAATGCTGCCTTAAGGTCGAGAAATACTACCATTGTGGGGCATCTGAATGTGTGTTATAGAAGCTGACATATTGTGAATATCTGATCTATACAACCACGTCCAGGTCGAAAACCAGCCTGATTTTCTTCAGTCTGTTCTTCACGAGCTTTAGTTAAGCGTCGAAGTATTATTGAGGCTAATATTTTAGACACTATATTTGTCAAACTGATTCCTCTGTGATTGTCACAAGAGGACTTTTGTCCTTTCTTATAGACTGGCACAATCAGTGATTGAGACCAATAAGATGGGATTACGTCCAGTTCCCAAATTCTACCTAAGACCTCAGTCAATTTCACTGCTAATACTGAACCACCATCCTTTAGAATCTCAGGAGTAAACCTGTCAGGTCCTGCTGCTCTTCCTCGCTTCAGATTTCCTGTGGCTTTTCCAACTTCGTAAACAGTTGGACGACCTACATTAACTTGCCATTTAGGTTGACTGGAGATCGTGGGAAACCGAAGTGTGGCTGAAGGGCCATCGACCCAATCTCCTGGATCGAGAACTTATATGTCCATCTTTCTCTGAGTGTTTCGCTAACAGTCGGTTTCCTAATACCGGTTTCCTTAACAAGTCTGAACAATTATCTGCTACTACCTATTGCCGCTGCCTTTTCCATCTCTTTTGCTTTCGCTACCCACCACTGTTCACGATCATTGCGTAGACTTCTTGTCAGCTTGCGCTTAAGCCGACTCCGCTTTTCATTATGCTCAGAGCCAGGTGGAATGAGTTTCCGAGCATCTATCAGTGCGATAGATGCTGCTGAGATCCAGTGTTTCTCCCTAACCTTGTGGTTGACCTTACTAGCAGATATCACTGCTGTTTCCACAGCTTTTCGGACATCATTCCATGCTGCCTCAGGGTGGGCATCACACATGGCTGCCTAACTGTTTTCCTAGTTGTTTCTGAAATATACTCTTAGCTTGATTATCATTAGAGGACCCCTAAGAGGTTTCCTTGCAGCGTCTTTCCTACGTCCAGTAAGACGCAGGCAAATACGCGCTCGCACTGGAGCATGATCTGAATCTAAGAATGTGCTTCAGAATGAGCGACAGTCTTCTATCGAGCCCCTCCATCGGTGGCTGATAGCGATGTGATCTATTTGGGTCCAACGTTGGGACGAATTAAGGGGTCGCCATGTTAAAAGATGTTTTTCCTTATGTTTAAAGTTAGTATTTGCAAAGAACAGGCGGTTATCTGAGCATAGCTGCAACAGACGGTCGCCATTATCTGTTCTTTGAGCCGCGATGCTATAAGATCCACCCAGGTGTCTTTCCCTATCGCTTAGTTTACCTACTTGAGCATTAAAGTCACCAGCCACTATTACTACATCAGAGCGCCCAGTTTTTCGGAGAAGGTTGGAGAGCTTTCTGTAAAACTGATCTTTTACATCATCTGCGCTGCAGTCAGTGGGAGAATAGGCAGAGACGACGAAGAGGCAACGACGAGTGTCCATCTTTCCGAGTCTTTACTGTTCCGTTTAGTGGTGAGGAGGGTTAGTCATGGAGATAAGAGAGGTATTCGGAGGTGTAGGAGGGATTTGAATGTGACCAACTTGGTCTCGTGTGCTGTTACGGGTATGAGGGCTGATATCACTTCCCGGCTGCCCACACCGTGGAAGGGTATTTCTTGAGGAACCTGAAAAGGAAATAGGATTAGTGTTGGTCTTAACGACCTGGGAGCGTGACCGCAGAGCCCAAGGGACAACTGCTTGAGGCCGGCCGCGCACGGCCTTTTCGTGGAAGGTTTTTAATGTGTTAGCTCTGTTCTTCAAAGGGCCTTACCGCCGGAGACGGGAATCTGTGAGGCAAGGTGAGGTGTGACATTTTGAGGGTCGACCTTTTCTAACCCCACCCCTCCTTGTGGGAAGGCAGCATCGCTGTAGTTGCTGGTTGTCTGAGGGAAACACCTTACTACTGTCACACCCCTCTACAGTCAGCGGTACGACTTCGCCCTCAAACCTTGAGTTGCTGCTTTTAGTCGTACCGTTCTCCAATCGACCTGCCTGTCATGGTAGAACCTACAGGAACATACGTTCCAGCCAATGTAGCTCGGTTGGGTCATCACGATAGGCAAGCCCGACCACCGCGTCAAGGTAACAGCCACGGTCAGAACATTTCCTAGGCACCGACCTAACTATTATAACAAATACAAACCAAATAAGAACTTTCGTCTAAATTTGATGGAATAGCTTCACAGTATTTAGTTAATGTGAGACATTAAAGAGGAAGAATGCATTTGTGAAATCTCAGCGGAAGAATTCCAAGTAAATCCAACGTTTCGCCTGTCAATCTGGTCCAAGCTTTTCCAAGGAAAATATAATCAAACATCAAAATTATCGAATATAAATAGGTACATGGTTCTCCGGTTTACTGTATACCGAATAAGTCGTCCAATCAACATTTATTTTTATTCATTTATTTCAACACATAAATATTGGTACAAGAAGGCACCAAATATGTATGCGTCACACCATATTTGTGTGTGGGGGCTGTGATACTGTCCGGGTGCCCAGACCGAAGCAGGTGGTTTTCTTAGGGGGCCACACCCCGAGCCTTTGACCTAAAGGTCTGATCCACAAGGCAGTGGAGCATCGTGAGGAGATGCAGTCCCATGGTAGCCGGTGACCAACGATTGGTTCATATGCCATTTGTTCCTGCAGGATACTGGAGCCCATGTGCACCATTGGTTTGGGACCCGGTTGAAGCGCCGGACATTCGCTTTTCGTCCTCTCATTTTCGTAAACAACACCCCCGCCACGAGAAGGCAGTGAGTAAGACTTCCCTGGAAGAGGCTGTATACGCGTGGCCGTGTGAGAGCATTTCGAGAGGGAGGGCGGGCCCACCCCACTCTCGGCCATACCAGGGCATTTGGGGGCCCAATCAACATGTGATGTGAAACGAAGTGTTAAGATAACAGATTGTGTGTATACGTAGGTGAGAAGAAATTTCACTCACTATATATTGTCTTCGGTCAATGAATATTAAGAAAACATATAATTTTTATATATGATATGAATCGAAAATGTCACAGCATGAATTAAATGATGATAAATAAATAAGATAAAATAATGAATTCAAAGAGGAAGAATGTATTCGTAATTGAAAGTTTGTGTTATTTTAATGTTCCAGTCAATTGTTTAACATATTCAGATAAGATGACTGATTTGAACCGTTAAATGTAATATCTGATAATTAGTTCATACGATATAGATAGAGTGGAATAAGGTTTACTTACTAATTACTAGTTGCCATGGGACAGCTAGTTGTATTTCATCTCTCTTATTAATACCGTTTGGATTAGCCCATATGTGTAGGGCTTCAGCTGTTAGTCTCTCTTTGCAAGAATTACAACCTTTTCGAAGGATACTTGTGCCATTGAAATCAATTGTATGACTCGATTCTATAGAGTGTAATGCTACCGCTGATTTCTTCTCGAGTTTCCTTACCCTAACTGAAGATTTAGGAATGTGATTTAAGCATAGTTTGTGTTCCTTCACCCTCACATTCAGTTGCCTTGATGTCCCACCTATATATGTGGCATTACAGTAACTATATTTGATTTCATAAACACAATTCTGTTGTTCTTCCTTGTGTATTGAATCTTTGATTCTTACTAGTTTTGATTTTAGAGTATTGTTTGTTCGAAAGAATGTTCTTATATTTTGAAAAGTTAGAATCCTTCTGATCTCTTCTGAAATATCTTTACGATATGGGATCACAACTGTATTAATCCATTCTTTCTGCTTAACTCTTTTTTAATATCGTTTTGTTCTTCATTCTTAGTCATTCTTTTAATAAAATCCTTCGGATAATCATTCATCATTGAAGTGGATATAATTAAATTCATTTCCACTTCTATATCATTTGGTTCAGTGACAAGATTTTTAACTCTGGTGATCAAATTTTTGGCTACTGTTACTTTGGTAGAGTGTGGATAATAAAGCAGTATGATGAGTGACAGTGGTCTTGAGTGCTGTTAGAGGTACCACCATCGAATTAACTACTTCTATTAATCCGGTATTCATCTTGCTGTGCTAATGCGGTATGGCAACTTGGACCGATGCATATATGTGCATGGTCCCACGTTGTAGCTGATTGACTGACTGTAATGAGTGACATTCTTGATATGGCTTCATATAGTATAGAACACTATTTCAACAATCCTTGTCTGTCGTAGTGGTCAGAATCACGTTTTAATTTGGAAACTGATGACAACCATGGATTATCTACTCAACATCAACTATTGTAAACACTACTCATATTTACTTTGTATAAATATATATAAGGACTAGTACGATGTGCACAGAAATAAACACGAATCATCACAATATTGACAAAACAAACTAACCGAATTTACCACAACCCCTCTTGGATCATCTTTCAGCATATCACCGAAAATAAACGAAGCCTTTGTAAGACCCATTTTGGATACTCCATAGGCATTTGAAGGCCAACCTTTCTCAGAATAAGTGCCATCCTCAGCAGATCTAATGATATATTTTACAAGAAAATAGTTGCTCAATAAATAAAGTAGAAAGCAAATACTATTTTAATAGTCTCGTCTATACAGTGATGTTTCGGAATAGTGGTGCCAATCATTTGCAAGTGTAAATATATTTAAGAATTAGAATAATGAAGATGGCTGCTTCTAAGTACAGATCAGAAGCTACATACATAGACTGCCGTAAACAGAAGTTTACACTTTTTAGTCCGTGAAGTGGTGATATAGTTAAGAAATGCTCGGTTTTTGAACTCTGTATTACGGATCCAAATCAAGCTTCGGTCATTTCCGACTATTTAGCCGAGTAATATCACAAAAATGTGTAGTTTGAAGTAAAGCACATATATCTATATCCAACAGAAAAAAGCAAACATGAAAAGATCTCCCATTTACAAAGTAAGCCTATGCGACTGGTGGACAGCTACACTTACCTACACTTTGCAACTCTTTGGGAAAATCATGCCCCAGGTTCTTACAGAGCTAAAATACAAAATACAGGTTTTCCATCAATCCACATATATTAAGTGAACCTGGCTTTATCCAAACGATTGAGTTCTTTCGAAAATATACATTAAATGAAATGAGGCTTAGATAATTTGACACTGGAATACAATGAATCTTAGATCCTCAAAGTTCATCGATTGAAATCCTGTGGTATTTCGTAGTATGTTAAAAAATATATACACCTTACAGACCAATTTTTCGAATGAGCCGAGTAGAGTACTACGCGGAAACACTAGTCGCCTAGAGTAACCTACATTCTGCCTGAACATTTAAGCAGCAAGCAGTTAGAATCACCCTACAGTCTATTCACAACATATTTTGTTGATTCTACTATCTATGTATATATTCTAGGACAACAAAGACCATCTAGCTTGGCGATATTAGTCATTAAAGGGGAGTACCTTACAGCAGGTAGACCTTATTATATTTAACAGCATAATTTAATTCTAAAAACTGATGCATTAACCATTGCTAAAAGTACATCTGTGGTGTGGTAAGGACTTGAGAATGAATTATCTAAAGCAATATAATTCGATTATTTAGGCAAACTATGTTGATAAATGACCAGCTTGACCATTAGTCCAAGAAACTCGAGCCGATTGGAAACACTGGATGCAGCCTGGATAGACCTGTGTTAAAATCACTGATTGTGAAGCTAGGAAGCGGGCGAATGAGTCCGCCAAGGAGCATCAGTCGCCCCTTCGATTACAGGCACGCCATGTTGATCATTCCCACGTAGCAAGAAACCTAGGTCCAGGGTTTCCTGTAGACCACCTCCAAATACCACCTTACACCTCAATATAGTTCAAGCAATGTAGATTTGTCTAGACCAGTAAGTAAACTGTGACTTGACCAATAAAATTTGATCAGCAGAAAGAAGGATTTAACATATTTGGGACCAGTCACTACTCACCCAATCTCCCAATTTCGGGGAAAATTTGACCCATTTTGGGGAAGCGGCTATAGAAAATTCTGAGGAAATGGCACTTAAACCCTAAAAGTTTCCCAGATCTGGGGAAAATCCACAATACTTCCCATAAACCCTGGAGAATTCCCCAAACTTGGGGGGGTTGGGCAGTGTTGAATTAACTGAAACATACTTTTTGAAATCATACGTTACATGCAGTGTAGCAAAAAAACCAGTTGCATTACTGAACTAGAATGTTTAATTTGAGATGTATTTCAGTAAAGATATACCTTACAAACTCCACCATAAGTTTTTTCAACTCCGGAAGGTTCATAGGGCCGACAAATTTTTCGTAAAGATCACTACTGAGTTTCTTTAACATGAACAGAGAGAGAGTAGCAGAGATATTAACGACTCTTAAGAGTACGAACTGGTCCTAATAGAGTACCTGGCATTTTCAGCTAGTAAAGGAATGAACTCTTCCGTGAAATCGACAGTTGAAGTAAAGTTGGTGTTCACCAAACTACGTGCTTGATTGCCAAATGGAACCAAACAGTTTGCCTACGGAAATATATTAAAGTAATAAAACGACTTTGTGGGCAATTCCAGCATTATTAACTGCAACGTTGATTCCATTGGGATAGTTTCTCTCTACGAATGTTAGGAACGCTTTTCGACTATCTCGATCCGTTATATCTAGCTGATGGAATTTAACATCCAGGCCCTTGTTATTGAGCTTTCTCACAGCTTCCTGACCAAGTCCAATATTACGAGCTGCTAAGTTATTAGTTGATATACGGTCACCTGTTAGAAACACATCCCATTCTCCTGTAGGGCGGTATAATTTCAAAAGTTTTTCAATGATGCTAAACCCGATACCTTTATTTGACCCAGTTACCTAAATTAATTAAATATAACCTCCTTAGTGTTATAAAACTCATCAAACAAATGCCAGTTTCATGTCAATAAGATACGGCCAACCAACCAGCGACTGCTCAAATGGCCTTCAGTTACATTTTGGAAAGGACAAGAAACTGGGTGGGTATGCGTTACAATTAACTCCTGGTGTTTCCGCGGTATTTAGGTGTTATCGTGGTATTTCTTAAAATCGTTAGAAATAGACAGTTACGAAGGGTTACTTACCAGGAGTTCATTTTTCATAAACACTTCTCAGTACTTAATGGTGGAATGATCATTCCATCATTTAATACAGTCGACCGTATTATCATTGAGATGATTTCTTGATGGATAACAACTGGGATTTTGTATTCATGCGGAACGTTCTTGTTTTTGAAGTCTCTAACCTAATTTGTCATCGATATACGATATGAAACACGACTTCACCGTCGAGCTGATACTTATAATAGTGACAAAATTGATGGACGACATGGAGTATTAAATGAATATAATTGTGCTTCTGCTATCCACAGCCACAGAACACCTACATTACTACCAGAATCGCTTATGCCATGAAGTAAATTCTTGATAGTCGAAGCTGAGTCGTATGTGAGTAACTTTTGGCTTCATTCAGACGCATATGTGTTTAAACGAATTCCAGATTTCATGTGACCTAAAAGTGCATTATATACCAAGAATTTAAGTTTGTCAGTACGTAAACTGGTAATGAGGACAAATTCAAGGCTACGTTCGCAGAGTATCGGGCAGATCATCAGTCCCTATCAAGGCCAAGGACGACCAACTCTCATCAGTCAGTCGTACGCCATGAACTGGCCCATGAGATGTTGGTCACACTTCAGCTTGTACCTATTCTAATATATTTCTGTACTAACGCCCTTTGTGTTATACGGTCTTCAAAGCAGCAATAGTACCTTGATACGACGGAGGAGTAAACCACGTTAAGCGCTGGCTGCGAGGTGTGACTTCGAAGTTAGCTGCTGGTCTCAGCATTCCCGTCTAACTCAAGTAAGCCCTCGATCATTCGATATAGATCATCTACGTTAATGACCTACAATCGACCCAAATCGAGCTAGAGAATAACAGAATAAAATGATTCAAACACGAGAATGAAGTTTGAATACATACATTTCGTACACTCATTGATCTGAACGGACAATCAGGGAAACGAAGTGGAGGAAGTAAAGGGGAGAGAGCGTAGTGAAACAAAATGATGAGCAGTGGAGGTGAGTGAGCCAAATCAATTAAATCAAGCGTGACTATGGTGTTTGTATGAGCTCTAGATTCTTTTGTACTTAATTGTCCGCTTGATTTCTAATTCTAAATACAATACGTTCGTTCGTGCTTACCTAGCTCCATCCGGCTGAAATTCCTATTTCAAGGATCCCTGTTCGCATAATAATTCAACTATGTTTAAATATGTCAGTGACTTGATATTTACGGTCAGAATAAAAATAAATTGCAGACACGTGGTGAATAGAGAAGGCATTTAACACACATACGACCATTTAAAAAGCATACAGAATTGATCAGCCAATAAGTGATAAGGCAAAATTGTGGCTTGACAATAATGAGTAGGTTTACCTGTTCAGAAGCTAGAATAACTCATGTGGGTTTGGCATAGTACCGGCCATTACAAAGTCCACGTGTAGGAAGTAGCACAATAATTTCAAAAAAACATTTCGAAAATGACACTGAAAAGTATGTGTATATCGTTAACAATAGGTAGCGAAAAATCATGCGTAAAGAAATAATAAGACTTTATTTATCCTGAAGAACAAAGATACCCCAATAAATAATCCGATTCAGGATTCTTAAAAAGTATACATTTATTATATCAAAGGTGCTAGAGTATTAGCAACAGATTCCCGGTCTTGTCACTCCAGTCCAAATATTATAATTATTCACAAACAGTTTTTTGGTAAATTGGTGTTGTGAAGAAGCCCTTTTGACTCTCTTCAGCAATGCAGTTCTACTAAAGTTCCAATAATGTTTGCATAATATTCGTTGTATTTAAATGAGCTTAGACGAATATTGAGTTGACTCTGGAGAAAGACGAGAGAAAAATTAAGGAAAGAAACATGAAATCTGTAAGTAATTTATCATGTTATTGAAAACATAAGAAGAATAAACGGTAGTGTGTGTATTACCGAATGAACAAAAATAAATAAATAAACAGTAAGATCTTACGGTAGGATAAGTTTGTACAGTAATGATTTAGAATGATTGCAAGGAATAATAGTTAAATATACACTTATGTGGGTCATACATGCGTGATGAACATAAAATGAATATGAAAGGTTAATTTGTTTAAGCGTAACACAAGATATTGTGTAGAAGGGAAAGAGAGAAAAAGAAGAGGAAGAACAAAAGGGGAAAAGAATTGCGAATGTTTCAGGAGGAACAGTCATGATAACAACAATAATGATAATAATTGTAATGACAAATATGAATATGTGCGGATCTCGAATATTAGGTGAAAGGATGGAAAACAAAATAAAATAAACGAGCAATATTTCAAAGGTCCTACTCTTTTTTTCAACCAATTACAGAGATATTGGACCTTGTTTGTATCAATCGTTGGTATACACACTAATATCTATTAGGTGGCACAAATCACTTCAAAGAGATAGTCATCAAGTGAACTCCTGGATCGAGCTATTGTTTCAGTGCAACGGAAGTTTTATGGGAATCTGTTTCACACGGCTGAATAGCGAATAATAAAGAAAGTCTAATTTAAGTTTGTTCAGGTTCTCAGAGTTGGTAAAATACTTTCTTTATTACACATGTCGTGGGGTGATATCATAAAGTACAAAGGGATGGATGTCATTTATAAGCTGGTAGATAAAGACAAGGTTTAGTTTAACACGCTTGATCCAGAAAGGCCCTTACCGGAGCTGTTGACATCTTCGGATTTGAGCTAGGATAAAAGTGGGTTCCGTATGCCAAATGAAGAAAGTTTTAAAGGAAAAAGGTTGTATGAGAAATTGTCAAAGGCCTTATTGAAATCAAAGTACATATTTACCACTGGTTGACCAACAACTTTTCTCTAGGTGATTTGATCACGAAATTTCAAGTGCTATGTGGAGTGTGAGCGTTTGCTCATAAACCCATGTTGGGATAGACTAATCAGGCTAGCCAAAAGTAAAAATGATAATAACTGTTTGTGGATGACTTTTTCCATGGTTCTTGATAGCACAGACGTCACGTTAATGGGCCTATAGTTAGTAATATCACTACGTGACCCTGTTTTGAATCTAGAGGTGTTAAGATATGTTTATCGCGCAGATGGATAGGCTCTATGTTTTATAGATAAATTGAACAGTTTTAAGTAGAATAGTGAAAATTCACTGCTGTATTTCGCGAAAGATGCAGGAATCCCATCATTGCCATTGTTATTAGACATTTTCAGGGTATTTATGGCCTGCTTGGTATTGATGGCTGTGAAATCGACTGTAGACAGATGTTTAGATGTCAATATTGGAAGCCTATTGATAGGCGTTAAGGTTTTTATGTTGTAGCCTCCTCGATGAATTGCTTACAAATAGTAACAAGGCCGTATAAAATGCTATCGTCAATTATGAAGAATCTGGTTGTGTCAAGATAATCCGATTTCACGCGTGATTTGGAAAGCCGGGGTATTAAAAAGTCTGTGTTTTTACTACCTTAAACTTTATTCTCTATAATCGTGAGATACTACTGTTGAGATGAATCATTTCTGTCAACCAAGTTAGGTATGCTCTGTAGAGCACATACTTCATTATGCTTGTGATAGCGGTGCTTCAATTTTCTCAGCTTTCTCTTACAGGTCATAAAAGTATTCCGGCCCCTATTAACTTAAAAATCATGTGTCCGATGAATGGAACAGTGTAACCAAGGCAATACGTCAGATTGTTGTAGAAGTAGGAAAACGCAGTGCCGATATCATTTGTTATGAAATAAGATCCTCATGATCAGCATAGAAGAAAGGTTCAATTGCGCTTCTAAGTTTGTTGGTCAAACTGCCTGCTCTGGTACATTGTTCCAGGTTTAGAGTTCAATGGTGTGGTGTTTGAAGAATAAATAAAGCTCAATACGACTCCATGATCACCCATAGAAACTTCATGACTGACGTGCCATGAGACAGAATCGATGTTGATTGTAAATATTAACCAAGTATATTGTCCCTCCTAGTCGGCTTTCGGACTTCTTAGATCCATCGACAAAGTTCTGTGGCTACAACAGGCTTGTTATATCTACCTAGTGGCCAAGTCGATATCCATATAATGTTCAGCGGATTTAAACCACCTCCGATGATCTTAAACGTATGTAGTTGGGGGAAAATATGTTAGTTAACAAGTTAGTATCAGTATACATACATCCAATCAGTAGATATTTTTGCGGTCCACAATCTACGGTAATCCAAGAGGAGTCATCTATAGCATCAATATATTTGAAACGACCGAACTGCCAGTATTCTGTTTGAACGCAGGACTGAAGGACACAAACCCACTAGAATAGGCCAGACTAAGTTCTTCTGCATAGCTTACAAAGCGTTTTTGAGACACTCGTATTAAATTATATCAAAGCACAAACTCCGTGCTCAATTTAAACGCTTCGTAAGTCATACAGAAGAACGTAGCCTGGCCAATTCTAATGAATTTTGGCTCGTCAGTTCCGCGTTCAAACCGATTACTGGCAGTTCGATCCTTACAGTTCTCAAACGGTACAGCCTGTGCTATCCAGTCAGAAGTTTCTCTAACGCAAAGTAGCGTGCTGATAATCAATAAAAATATTCCCAACAAAATGGGATCAAATATCTATCTTCAGAGATTCCAGCAGTTCTCCCAATTAGACAGTCAAATGGTTAACAGTCACACACTGAATCACATCGTGACCTTGAGCTTAGTCGAACACGACCTTACTGCCAATAGTTCGGCAATATGCAATAGAAAATTAGGTAACAAAAGATAAGTCTTTAATCAAAATCACGTAATAAAAGCTCAGACGAAGAAGACTGGAGAACAAAAGGTGTGGTAGGAAGAAGAAACAAATAAATGACAGTAC